CCCTTCCGAGTGTTGAGCGGAGCAGTTCACTACTTTCGAACAGTGCCGGAATACTGGGAGGACCGACTGAAGAAGCTAAAGGCTTGTGGCTTGAACACAGTTGAAACGTAAGTCTCTTGTTCTTGTATGTGATCTATTACTTTGTCACATACTCCCATTCTTGTAGCAGTTGTGGGTGAGGGGTGGGGTGGGGGGAGACTGGTTGGGTCAAACTTGTGAATCCTTGTTGTTCATATACTTCAGAGCCGGCTCTTAGAAGGTGTTCTTTTTTTCTCCTAGACGTAATTTGCAAACAAAAAAATAGATTCTGGGTTGATTTGATGCAACTGTAAATTATTGAATTATATATATATTATTTTGAGGAGTTGTTTCTTATCTGCCTGTGCTTCTTTAAAACGGGAATAATATAGATTGATGTGATCCATTACTTTGACAATTGGCAATAAAATTACAATTACTTACTATAGCAGGGCATTTAAACCTGTGGTATACCATTACCAAAGTGTGCTCCCATCTTTCCTAGTCAAGACCTCTTTGACTAACACATTAGCTTTTTCCCGGACATGAATTGGGCAATGCATAAAAGCTGTATGTTTTCCCAAAAATGCATGTTTTGTGTGAGTTCTGTCTGTATGCATAAAGAAAGATAAATTGAGCTTTATAAATTAATAAATTCTTCCTGGTGCCATCTAATCAAAACTGGTTTAAACTTTACTCATCTTGCTCTTTCAGCTATGTTGCCTGGAATCTTCACGAGCCTTCTCCAGGGATTTTTTATTTTGAGAAAATGCTTGATGTCAGGTAAGGCTAGGCCATGTGTGCCACTATGTGAAATTCTGGGTGAGCCTTGTGGAAGGTTGCAGGTTCACTCAGGTGCAGGCTCTGTGTGCTAATGTTATTATTATTATAGTGTTGGTCTCAGTTGGGACTATCTGTAGAAGAGGTACTGGACTGGTACATTTAGACATGACCCTAGTTCGAACGGTGATGTTATTATTTTTATATAATTAAATAATTTTATTATTTTTATTTATTGTTAACCCTTTTTGAGCCATGCACCCGCCTAAACCGGCCTTCCCATCATTTTTCCATACTGGCTTTAACTGGCTTTCCCGCTGAAGAGCCATACCGGCTTTTACCCGCCTGAGACACCTGCCTATAGTGTAGTCTTAGAAATAGAAAATTCCACTCTAAATTTAGATGCTGACGTCCTAGGTCTTTGTGTATGTGAAGTTTCATCGAAATACGTCGCTGTATTCAAAAGCAAAAGCAATTTTTTTCTACGTGGCCCCTGAATCTATGAACAACACTGAAGTAATTCGGTTCTGGGAAGCCATCAGCTGGCCACCATTTTGGTTCTGCTGTGCTGACCTGCTGACCTATTTATGTTGCTGAGAGGGTTAAATTGTTATTACTACAGTTATTATTCTTATTTTTATGTTATTATTGTTTTATGAAGTTTATTATTATTATTTTTTTATATTACTCATTTTCATTGTTATTATTGAGTGTATTATTGAATAGTTTTATTTATAATTATATTCAATTCTTATTATCAATATTGTAATTATTATCGTTAAAATATCTGTGTATTTGTTATTGCTATATTACCTCATCTCACATTCATGTTTATTCTGTAACACAGGAAATTTGTAAAACTAGCTGGTGAACTTGGTCTGTATGTGATTCTGAGGCCTGGTCCGTATATCTGCTCTGAGCTGGATTTTGGTGGACTGCCAGGGTGAGGCAGGATTACTAAATCTTCAACTTACTACCACAATTGCTGAAGTCATAAATCATAGTTTTGTTCAACTCTTTCTCTGCCCATTACCGATATATCGGCAGCGCGACCGCACCATTTCCGCCCATTACCGATACATCGGCACAGGCTATACCAAACTTTATTTAGTTCGTAAATACTTGATCCATAATTTTAAGTTTTGATATAAACAAATCTCAAAAGTAGAAACTTCCTGCAACGAAATGTAGTGTCTATAACTACGTAAGTGGGTGGAAATTGAAATTGTTGAAGTATTTTGTGTGGTGTGTTTGTGAAACCAAAACACGAAAGATGATCACACCCATTTCTAGTTCTAGCTATGTTTTCTGGGCCTGGTAGTAAACGACCCTATAGGCATATAACTTGTCAAACAGACTAGGGAATTTTTCTTTAGTAAACTTGAGGACAGAGATGATATTGTCTTAGAATCCTTAGCTTTAGATTCTGATTCGGCCGATGATTGAATCGAGAGTGAAAAGTGTGAAAGACATAATTTGTAGATCTAAATCTACTGTGACAGCAAAGAGGATAGATGGAGATAGGGAAGTGAGCGAATATGCTTCGAAATGAAAGGGAAATTAGAAAGCCAAGAGAAGTGAAAATCAAGAGGATAATGACCTAGATCTAGGTCTAAATTTAAATCTAGACTTGGACAAGCAAGTGCAACTCGGGCAAATTCTGATTCTTTACAACTTTTGGTATTGTCACAGTGATGTTACAACATTGATCATACAATCTGCAAGAATTTCACAATTCCATACCTTTTTGCATGAACATGCAGGGAATTGAATGTAACATTCATTTTATGAATGTAGGAATCTTTTTGTGAAGTACAAATTTTATTATTTATATATTCAAAGTCGGAAATTTAGTCGGTCTTTTTATTAGCTCCCATGTGATGGACGAGTTCTCTAAGAAGTATCAATTACGTCCTTTGCCTAATCAAATATTTTTTTTACACATTTCAAGGCTAAGTTTTATTACTTTTCAAAATATGTCTGACACTACCTACTTATTATTTCATTTTACTTATTATGAAAATCCTTCCCAAACATACACACCTATCATTCACGATCGGATGCACGGAGAAAATCTGTGAAAGCTGGTATAAAATGGGCAGAGAATGAGTTAATAAAGAGAAAAAAGCTTCCAATTTTTTTTCTTTCCGTAACTCAGATCACAATGGGTTTCTGGGGGGTTTTTTTCATATTTTGGAAACTTGTGATTGCATTTGTCCCTTTTTATATGACATTATTTTATGTCACAGTATAAGGATTGTATAGTGGTCCAGTTTCAGTTTAGACGAAGTCCGAAGTAGGCCATTGTCATAGCATGTTGATGATATTGATTTTGATGTTACATATTTGATTTACGTTTTTCTTAGTTTTATTTCGTTTATGTATAGTGTGTTTCCTTACACGGGTTAGGTATGGAGTAAGAAGTACATGTGCTGTAATGGTGAATTTGAACTTTTGAATATGAACATTCTGTTTACCATGTGAGATTTATGTCTTTTATTTGTGTCCAGTGTGCGTTTTTGCTTTCCTAGTTCCTTCTTCTTTACTTGTACCACTGGGTTGAGTTGAGTGCTTTGTCATAAAATAACCCAGGCTCTGAAATCATGCAAGAACAATATCTAGATTGTATGTCCAGAATTTTTGTTGGGGGGGGTTGTCCTTCTGCATTCATGTGAAAATGATTCGCTGAGAGACATAGAGAAGGAGAAAGAAGGAACGGGGTATATATAATATATAGAGAGAGAGTTTATTTAATATTATTCTTTTTCTAAGAGAAGTTCCACACTGTGAGATGTTGGTTGTTATCATTGTCTATAAATTATATGAATGTAACAATTCTGCAAACAATGCAATAACTTCCAACAGATGGTTGTTGCGAGACCCCAACATGAAGGTTCGAACCAACTACCCCGGCTATGTTGCAGCTGTCAACCGATATTTCAGCGTCCTTCTCCCTATGATGAAAGACTTACAGGTGAGGGACAGAAGGAGAATGAAAGACGTATTTATTATTCATAATGTGAAGTGAAATTGCTTCTTAGGCCTATGTTCCTGTTATGTAAAACATTTTCTTTTGGTAAGTGTTTTACGGCATATAAGCGTTCGGGACACCTTAAACATTTTCAGTTGGTAGGAAATTTTGAATTTTGCCCGGGTTTCGGCCGAAGCCTATTCTTATCGATTTTAGACTTTAATGTGCGCTACATGCACATGGGCCCTCCGAGATTTTTTGCCTGTGTCCGTGAAGGCCTGGTGTAGATCTTTCCTACCAGAAGATCAGGGGTGTGGCTGAATGATAACAGTAAGAAATGGCCAAAGAGTAGCAGTAGAAAGGCTGCAGAAAAAGCCAGGAGCCCAGAGGAGGGGGCAAAGGAGGTGGGGGGGTGGGGGCAGAAAGCAGACGACATAACATTGCTAGAGGGCGGAAAAGGAGGTGAAAGGAGACAATTTTTAGAGAAGATAATTTTTCGGTCTCTACCCGGATTCGAACCCGGGACCTTTGAATGAGAGGCGAACACCTTAACCTGTTGGCCACGAGAGCCCCCAGTAGTCTCCACCTGAACACACGCCATACAGAGACACTGTGGTACAGTGAGTCGGTCTTTTTACCTTTTTCCAGTACATATTCAGTGCCTTTGTAGATGTAAGCGAGATTGCGGAATCCAAAGAAACAGCCAAATGTCATATTATCAGTAGAAGCAGCCATCCACCTCCAGGGGAGGTAACAGTAATTACTAAAATATCAGGGAAGTGCGATGGTTGTGTGCCTTTCTCCCCTTTGTGCACGTTCACATAAATTAAATGCACGTTACTGTACATACATACAAATGCACGTTGCACGTACACTCATGTTTAGGAGCCCTTGTGAGCACAGTGCGTTTAGGCAGAGACTACTGTAGCACCTCATCACTTGTGTCTGTGGTTAAATGATTAGGATCTGCGCTTTACAATCCAAGGATGGTAGTGGTTGTTCAGTTCCTATTCGGGTAAGACAATATTTTATTGTGAGAATCCCTGTCTTTTTGCTGAGATCCTGTATCGCACTTAAGCCCTGTGCACACTTGGAAAAGCTCCATTTGTCTCACAGCTGCAAAATATTATGTCACTTGATGGTGAAGAGAGGTAGACGGGTGAAAATTTCTTCCTTTGACTGCTAAGCGACAAAGGAAAACAGTCCAAATGTGCAGAGGGCCTTAGCTCAGGTTGGCCCTGACAAATAAGTTAGAACTAGCCTGTCTCATCAGTGACCTATATTGTATTGATGAAGAGGTAAAATATTTATATCGAATCATGGCATCACCAAAAGATATGCAACTCAGCAAGAAGGATTTATGGCTGTTGATTGTTTATGTTATGGAATTTTTTTTTGACAAGATCCATGTTTTGATTAGATTAATTTAATGCTGGACAATGACAATGATAAATGGCATGCTGTCAGTGTGAATGCTCTTTTTGTATCAATTAAGTGGATTATTTATTTTGTTCTAAATGTAAAGCATATTTAAGAGAAATGAGGAAATTTTTGCATTAAATTAAATTGCGTCCCCAAAATAAATTCAAACAGTATTGCTAGTTTGACAAGTCAGGAGTGTGTGGGCTGTAGATTGTAGTTTTACAACCCCCCTCCCCCCCCTACTTCCCCCATCCCACTTTGCTGAATACCACTGAACTTGTCCAAGATAACCACTCATTATCAAGGAGAAAAGTGGGCACAACAGACAGATGGTCCTCCTGGACATTGTCATTATGGTAAAGAAAAAAACCCACAAGGGATGGGTGAGTAGTCACTTGCTCAGGTAATTGTCTTGGATGTATGAGGATTAGAACAGGTCGGACGCTGTGTGTGTGTGAGTGTGTGTATATTTGTGTGTGTGTGCGTGTGTATGAATGTTTGTGTGTGTGTGTGTGTGAGTGTGTGTGTGTATGTGTGTGTGTGTGTGACTGTATATGTGTGTGTTTGTACATATGTGTGTGTTTACGTGGTGACACCTATCCAATGTGCCCGGACCTGTACAATAAAGGTTTTATCTTATCTTATCTTATATGTATGACATCAAGGGACTGTATATAATATATGTATGACAATACCATCTTTCCACAGTTCTCTGAGGGTGGGCCTATCATCATGGTGCAGGTGGAGAACGAGTACGGGGTCTACGGCCTGGACATACAGCACCTCAAGCTCATCACATACGTACGTACCCCTCCAGTTTTTGGTTATGGTGTACAGTCCTCTTGGAAGCATACATCCTGGTAATATATATCCCAGTCAGTTTTGGTTGGCTGTGAAAGGCAGTAGCGAAGCCATCCATCTCCAAAAATTATTTGTCATGTGTCTTTGAGGGCAAAAAATACTGTCAAATCTCCAAAGATGACCACCCATTTCCAAGTAGTCCTCCTAGACTGGTGGTCTTCTTGGACAATGTCATAATTATAATGCAGAAAAAAATACAAATTGGGAAGTGGAGAGTGTTCTTTTGTACATTTGATTGTCTTGGACAGGTGATCGTTGGAGCAGTTTCAACTGTAATTTGGGATATGTTATTGAGAGTAGAAAATGATTACGACAACAGCAGGTGGTGCAGGGTGAATATACGACTGTTGATACTTTTGATGGAGAAATGGAAAGTGTCAATGGGGCTGCAAAATGTTCACAATGAAATCTATAACAAGCCCCTCTGTACTTCCCTGTCAACACGTTTGTGACAACCCCCCCCCCTCCCCCCACTCTGTATTTCCCTGTGCTCATTATGTTTGCAACATGATATGTCACACAGACACACACACACGCGCGCGCACACACACACACACACACACACACACACACACACACACACACACACTCTATTACCCTGTGCGGACAGTGTTTACAACAAGATATTTAACAAGCCGCCATGTATTTTCCTGTACTAAAAATGTTTACAACAATATTTGTTACAAACCGTCATGTATTTCTCTATGCTCACAATGTGTACAACAGTATCTATGAAAATCCTCTCCTCCCCCCCCCCCCCCCCCTCCCCCTCTGTATTTCCCTGTGCTTACAGTGTTTACAACACGGATAGGTCAAACACTGAAGATTCAAAATCACACGTCAGTCAAATTGTGCCTGCGGTCCCGGGTAGTTTTTTTTTTCCTTTATCAAACTACAAATACCTCGAACTACCGAGGTCGGTCCCAACAAATTCGTGCTGTCCGTGTTATACTGAATGTAACAAATCTCCATGTATATTCCTGTACTCATGTTTACTAAAATATCTGTTACTAACCCTCATGTACTTCTCTATGCTCACAAAAATATTTACCACAATATCTATTATAATGAAACCTCCCATGTTTTGTCATGTGCTCACAGCTCCTGAAGAGAGAGGGAATCAAAGAACTTCTTGTGACAAGCGACAACACTGCCAGCCACCTTGACTTTCACCAGTGTAAGGGCACATACATGCACACACACACACACACACACACACACACACACACACACACACACACACACACACACACTCATACATGCACATGTTTGTTTTATTCTTTGCCCATGCTGGGCTGACTTCAGGCTTTTGGAATGTTTCTCTTATTTTGTTCAATCGTATTTTCATAACATGTTTGTAGTTTTCAAAATTACCAGTGTCTGTGGTATAGTGGTAACATGCTTTGCTGTCGATGTGGGAGACCCGAATTCGATTTCCGAGTGTGGAGAATTTTTTAAATTGAGTATCTTGGTCTTTCTGCCGAGATGTTGTATCCCTCTCCGCCAGGATTGGCCGTGACAGGCAGAGTCAGAAGCTGGGCCTCCTAAATGATCTCTCCTCCTTGTCATCTTTCTCATCCTCCACCTCCCCTTTTCCTCTTTCTCCTCCTCCTTTTCCTCCTCTCCACTTCTTTTTCTTCATAATTATTTTGGCTAACTCCTCACTTTTGTTCTCTTTCCTTTCATCCTCATCCTCTTTTTCCTCCTCCTCATCCTTCTCTCCTCCTCTTTGTCCTAGTCGTTGTGCTAGTCATCACCCGTGTTCTCATCCTTTTTACCTTCCCCACTTTGCAATGACTGTTCTGCCATACACTGACAAAACACCTTTTTTTCATTTTTGACCCCAATTTATTTTTATTTGCTAAATAAAAAAACCTGACCAGTTACCTAAACTTGTGTGAAAAAATCAAAGTGAAACTGTTACTAGTTTTTTAAAAATAAATTAAAATTCTGATTTCGGAATACGCTTTTTTAAAAATGGTTACACTGCCAAAAAGCCTCTTTATCTCGAAACTGCTGTGAATAAAATATAAGGCGCTTTGTCATCTTACAGGAGTGTTGCCATTCTCTTGACTCCTCCTTCTGCTGATTGTAGTTGTTATCATCTACTTCCACCTTCTCCTCCTCCTCCTTCATTGTAGACGCGTTGCCGACCGCCAACTTCCACCGGCCTGGGGACCACTTCCGTAAGATCTCTGAGCTGAGCACAGACTTCCCGCTGATGGTCATGGAGTTCTGGAGCGGGTGGTTCGACTCTTGGGGTCAAGGTCATCACTCTATGCGGTCGGTTGCGGGTAGGGAAAAATATGTCATGGATGTGTGGATGGTAGAATGTCTACGTGTGTGTGTGTGTGTGTGTGTGTGTGTGGATGTACATGTGTTTGTGTGTATGTATATGTGTTTGTGTGTGTACATATGTGTGTGTGTGTGTGTGGACATGTGTGTGTGTGTAGATGTGTGTACATGGGGGGTTTGTGTGTGTGTGCGTGCGTGTATGTATGTGAGAGGCAGAAGAAATAAAGGGAAAGTGTTTGCGTGGTTGGTGTGGAGGTGAACGAGAGAGAAAAAGGTAGATTCTTACATGTAGGTTTCTTGAAAACAAAGTAAAAAGGTGCATGATCACTGCTGTTTGAAAAAACTTTTAGACCTTCTTTTAATATGGTGGCAACAGAAGCTTGGAGTTATTCATTTTTCTTGTAACAAAAAAGATGAACTTGATGTCAACCTGGCCAAATAGTTTCAAGCAAAAAAGTTTGCGAACTTTTTTTAACATTTGAGTATTTTTCACCAGTTTAGGGGGGGGGTAGGGCTTACACCTGAAGGCTATCTTGCTTATTACTGGACCAAATTTTATCAAATTTCACACATATAAATAATAAGCATAGTAAGGAGTCTGAAAATCCGCAATCAAATTTGAGAAAACAAGTTTTTTTTCCATGGATACAGCAGCCATATTGGATTTTGTTGACACGTCTTACGTAATGAATACCACACTTATTGCTCATGAAAATTGATTGTCTTTTTGCGTGCGTATTAACAAACATTAGATCTAAAAATGTGTCTGTTGGTTTTTTCCTAAACAAATTTTAAAAATTTTAATAAATTTTTTCCTGAGGTAGCATTCAAGTTTGAAAAAAATCCTTGAAAATCCACACTCCAGACACCACCAACAAAAATCAATTCCTTATATAAAAAATTCAACAGACAAACTTTTAGTGTTCCATCTACTCTTCATTCTGTGAAAATTTCATGAAGATTGGATGAAAAATGGTGGAGTTATTCAAAAAAGTATAGAGAAAAGTCGCATTTTGAGAAAACGGCCGATAAAGAAAAATAAATTATTGACTTTACGAGGAAATGGTGGTGACGAATATGCCCAGTTTTGGAGGGTTCTTATGCCATGAAATAGTTGTAAGAGAGGCTGAGGAAGATAAAAATGCCAACAACTCAAATTCCATAATTTTGAGCCGAATTGGGACTTTGGGGGTGTATTGATTTCTATGGTGTAACAGTATGACACTTTGGCATTGTTCTCCAAAGACATAAGTTTTATTCGCTCAAGGGGAAGCCTGCACTCTTAATTAGCATTTCCATCTTTTGCTTGGATGCTAGATGAAGAGCGAAGTGGAAGCAGCCTGCCTTGTTAGCGATCTAAATGGTGTCAATTGGAGCCTTAAATGTTTTAAAAATTCAATCAAATTTTCCACTGTCACATGGAGCTGTTTTTGTTTCTTTTATTCTTGTCAGACTTGAACGAAAGCCTCACCACTCTCCTGGCCCTGAAAGCCTCCGTGAACTTCTACATGTTCCACGGGGGGACAAACTTTGGGTTCACAGCAGGAGCCATAAATCTCACCAAATACGCACCGTTTGTCACCAGTTATGGTAGGTTACTTTTAGGTTTTTGGATTTTACAATTTTACTTGCAATACTCTTCTAATTTGCATCATTCTCACTTCTTTTTATCAGTTAATTTAAATTGTAAGCAGCTTATTATTTTACTTCAACAAATTTGACTAAATCTACACTTTTTTGTCTCTAGTTTTAGTATTGCAGTTTAAAGTTGTTGTTAATCAATTATTTTGTTTCTGATATGTGAATATATATGTAACACTATATTGCAGATCATAAATGGTTAAGGTTTGTTTTCTGTGAAATGTATTTTAATGTAACAGTTGAACACTGCCACTCATTTTGGCTTTTACTTTTGAGAGGGGGGGGGGGGGTAAAAAACAACTATTAAAAGAAGAATTAATATTTTTTGAGAAAGCCACCATTTTTTTCCTCGATATTTCTGACAGAATGTGCACCCTCTGCCCTTTTCTGTGAAATGTATTTTAATGTAACAGTTGAACACTGCCACTTATTTTGGCTTTTACTTTTGATTATTTTTTAAAAATCAAGTATGCACTATTGTCAATAGCTTAATTGAAGTAACTGATGATTATGTTCAAGTATAGTCAAACCTGCTGTAACAGCCATCTGTATATGACAATCATCTGCACAAATGGTATTTTCCCCTTTCCAACCTTGCATTTTTTAATAGATATTGTAATGACACTGTGGAAGATGTCTGCCCATCTAAGATGACCACTTTTCTCTTCAACAATGGGTGGCCATCTTTGACATTTTAAAAATTTTATTTACCTCAACTGTTCCTTTCCTTTTGAGATTGTTTTTAGCATCGTGACAATTTTTCCCTGGAGAGACTCATTATACACCTCAAATATGGCCCCTGACTGGTACACTGAAGGTGCTTTCAGTAGGGCATTACCCCACCACCCCTGCCTCTCACCCATAGTATATGGGTTTAGGTATATATGTGAGGCTCAGCGGTGAAATCAAGTGCTTGTCAAAATAATGAAATCGAAGGAAAGGGCATTTTTATTCAGTTTGGACATTTTTATCGCATTTTTGTTGTTTGGCTCAACAACTTTTATGTCCATATAAAAACCCATGTCCATGTGAATTTTACTGAAAAACGTTGATAAAAAGCACAAAATATGTAATTTTTCAGTTTCCAAAGACTCTCAAGCTATTGAAGTTACTGAACTTTTGCGGCCATATTCTCTTTAATTTTACTTTTGAAACCAGATGACCGCACCACCTTCAGTCGTTAATATCTCAACTTTCATTCAAGATTGATGGGTAGTTTTTTCATTAAAAGCAAGGCAAATGAATGTTTTCAGATGATACTAGTAACTCCACATGCCCCAAAATTGATGAGCATCTGATTCCACCAAGTTGTGACACTTATAATAAGTTTATAAGCAGGCAGGCCTTTGAATCATCACCAGCTGTCAAAATCTGAGGACCAATTTCTCTCTGTTAGATCATAAAGCTTGTGATTGTCATTATCATATTACTATACACAGCGGCAGTAGAAACTTTCCACTTGGAGAGAAACCTGGTACGTGGTTATTATTCTTTACTTTACTTTACTTTTTTCTTCCGCTTGTACCCTGGGGTGTCGCGGGGAGACACAGGTGTCTGTCTGCAGCAAGTCGTGTGGCCTGTAGGAGGGACATCCCATGATCTTTAAGGGTGTCTGCCACAGATTCACTCCATCGTCGCCTTGGTCTTCCTCTGGCTCTCCATCCAGAATATTTAGTGTTGGATGCTCTCAGAGCTGGATGGTTTGAGGGCATCCGCGTGAGGTGTCCGAACCACTTGACCTTTTGTTTTTCAATGTGTGGTAGGACTGGTGTTGCTCCCACGGTGTCCCTTATGACTTCATTTTAAATTTTGTCTCTTCTTGTTTTGTTGACCGCTCTTCTTAAGCATTTCATCTCGCATGTGACCAGTGTCCTCTCTAGGGCTTTTGTTAGAGTCCATGTCTGGCACTAATATGTGAGGTTATTATTCAACATATACAAACAAAAATTGACAAGACATATTTCAAAGTATGTAGGGAAGTGTATCACCTTTTGTTGCTTGATCATGTCTCACATGGTGGCCCAGGGTTACGCACAAACTGGTACCCCTTGATTTCACATTAATAGCAGGCATTGTAGCCCCCCCCTGCAATGATGCAAGCTTGGCATGTTCTGCGCATTGATCGAGTCAGTTTTTTGCTTCTTATTTTAATTAATTGTTGCTTTGCAGTCCATTCCACTCTTCAGTCAAAGTTTGTCCCAGTCGTTGTACAATGTTATTATTGTCGTTTTGGGAGCTCCTTCTTAGTCCCAGTCAGTTCAAGTAATTGTTGGAAAGATGGCAAACGTTGGTCATTATAAGGCCGCCTTGCTCAATGACCGAATGTGTTTTAAGGCGTAGTTGTATCCTTCTATCGCTGATAACTCTTCCAGTGTCTGTATGAAACGGACGTGCAGAGCTGGTCGTTGTGAGAAAGTGATTTCAAAGATACCAGAGCAGTATCTGTCTGTTTTCTTGGGCAGTTTCGACCTGTGGTCTGCCTTGTCTGGGTCTGTCAGGTGTAACTCCATGTGACTTGGAACCAATGTTTCAGGATATTGATGGTATGATGGGAGCAATGGAGCTACCACACCACTCTACGGGCCGATAGTGCAGCTTGCTGTATTCAAATTGCCCAACAGTGCTCTCGGGACATCTTGTACAGCAGTTCAAGACAACAAAAACCAGCTTGAATGTCTATGTAACTTGTTTGCTTTTTTTCAGTTCTAAAGTCGCTGATGTGTTGATCTGAACACAATTTAGACGATTTGATAATTTTGGCAGAACTTAAGTCACCAAACGTGTAATGAAACGTAATGAAATTTTTGTTCAAGAAAAATATCAATGCACAGTCATTGTTTGGTACATGGTGAGTGATGTGTGACATTTCACTCACTAACTCACGTGAAGAGCGGCACAGTTAAAAAAACAAAGTGGAACGTTTCTGTTGCTGCTGGGTATAGTTGGCACATAATGCTAATCTTCCAGTGTAAGCAGATTGAAGTCCAAGTACACCAAAGAAAGTCGTACCAACAAACTGTTTTCACCAGTATGCAAACTATAATTACGAATTTCATCAAAAATTTCCCCTAAAGATCTCCAGCTACCGAGGTATTACTACTGTGAATTCAGATCCTCCTTCCTCTCACTATTTGCTTGCAGACTACGATGCCCTGCTGACTGAAGCAGGGGACATTACTCCCAAGTATATGGCTGTCCGGGAGACCCTTTTTCAGTTTTACAAACAAATGGGTAAGTTTTATTATGTTATGTGTGTGTAAATGTTTTGAGCTGCCTCTGACACAATTTAGATTATAATTTAGGCAGCTGGTTTAATTGACTGACCTCTCGGGACTATTTCGGATTGTGTAGGATGCTTCTTAACAGAAAGACAAAGGTGCTGTACTGTATGTATTTGGCATGTAGGATTTGAACTCGTGTTTTACGGGTACAAGACAAAAAGTAATCGACTAGGTGGGTAGTAGTTCAGGTGCATGTCTTCTCACCTGTGCCCTCTGTTGGCAGGTATTTTGGTGTGGTTCGCTCCTTCGTTCCCATCAAATATCTATCGTCCTCATCTCTTCTCCTCCTTTAATTTATATGTTACTATCTAGTAACGCATCTAATCTTTGGCACTTATTTGACCTAACTGTATCGCAAGTGCCGTAAAACTCTTACTAAAAAGAATAGGCTAGCCATTACAGCACAGATAATGGAGAATGGAACAGCTGCTTTTGCCTTGTCAGATGTTCTCAGTGAGTGGTTGGCGGGTGTTCTGGTGTGGTTTGCTCCTTCTTTCCAGTCAGTTATCCAGCGTCCTTATCTCCCCTCCTCCTTTTTTGTTTGTTACTGTCTTGTAACACCTCTAGACCTTCAGCACTTGTATGACCCTGTTGTGTTGCAAGTTCCGTAAAACACTTGCTAAAACAAAGGTAAACCCAGAGGTTCTCTTTTTTCGCCTTGAGCTGGGCGTAAGATACAGATTGTCCTCAGTCCTTCCAACTAAGTAAGCCATTCCCTTGCTGGGGCAGTGTGCCACTTATACATTAAGGCCTTTTTATAGAGTCAACGTGGTATGTTCTTTCTAACTTCTACGTTTTCTTCTTTTCAGCAGTGTAGGATCCATCTTTGAAAGAACTAATTTTTTGTCTGGCAGGGCTGTAAACTCGTACGTGAAACATAAATTCTAAGATATTTTAAATCTAGGTTGGAGTATAAACCATCATACCTCATGCACCACTCGTTGAAGGATATGAAGGCTGAGCTCAGGACTGATTGTTAAGTTCAAACAACTGGTCTTTTTTCACCTTTTTATGACTTTAATGTTCATTTTTTTTTTAGTTAAGCCCCTTAGATGTGTCAGTTTTAACCTCATATGCAAGATGACAAGGGGATTTGTCAGAACTCAACTAAACTGATGTCATTCCGTATGATGGACATCACTTTATTCTTTATAGGTTGATGGTTGGCGGGTGCTCTAGTGTGGTTTGCTCCTTTTTTCCTATCAAACAACTATCGTCTTTATCTCTCCTCCTTCTTTTTGTTATGTGTTACTCTCTTGTAACACCTTTAATCTTCTGCACTTATATGACCTATTTGTGTTGCAAGTGCCGTAAAACACTTATTAAAACTAAAAATTCTTTATAGCAATAGATCCAAAAATAGAACGAGGAAATCACTAACATATTTGGATGGTGATTTCTTATATTTGTTTGATCTCTAGAGAAACATTGCCGAGAAGATCATATCTGAGCACATGTCCTTCTGATGATCTTGACAGGCCGGGCAGAGTTTTGAGGGAAACAAGGAGGGTGATAACTCCTAGTCTCTGGCAAGCTATTCCCAGTGGCACACTCTCAGAACTACTGTGCCGGTGAGCCTCTTGGCAGTGGCTTGGGCACATTCATTTATGACAACTTCGACGTCATATTATTATTTTTCTGCAATTTCCGAAATCATGTCTCTTTTACCGTAAGTTCTTTCACTAGATAATGAACAATCAAAAAAGGTTAATTTGTTTTGATTTAGGGATGAATATATGTCACTTTTAGATTTTGTATCAAAAGAGAGCTCTGGCATAATGAGGTTACCCCACTTGGAGATAAAGAGTTAATGTTCATCATTTTTGTCAATGCAAAATGAACATTGTATTTTATTTGTGCTTTCGATGACAGGTGTGAAGAGTCTACCGAAGATTCCACAAAACCTTCCCAAAGAGCATTATGGTAAGAAATTGTAATTGTAAATGTTTTCTGTCCCCATCAACACAATGGATATCATATAGGAGGTGGGCTTCTTTAACCCTGCCGAGAGGGTGGTTGGCGAGTGCTCTGGTGTGGTTTGCTTCTTCTTTCCTATCAAACATCTATCGTCCGTATCTATCCTGTTGTCCTATAACACCTCTAATCTTCAGCCCTTATCTATGACCTTACTGAGTTGCAGGTGTCGTAATACTCTTACTAAAACTAAAAACTAACCTTGCCTATCAAGGCCAACCTAGGCCGAGCGGGGTATAATGTCCCAGCTGACAGAAGGAGGTACTCGATAAAAAAACATACCTGCACGAGAATCGAACTTTTGCCTGTTGTGTGAGACAACTACACCACAAACACCAGTTATAGTAAATAGAATTGGATTGTGCACTGACTGAGGTAAGTTTTACCACCCCATCGTAGTGGATGTAGGGGGTCACCCATGCCCTCTGACTCCCAGCTGGAGGTACAACTTCTGTAACAGTGTAAAAAGTAACAGCATCATCAGTGGATGTTCATAAGTGATATTTGTTATGATTTCAGTCTGAACTAGCCATGTTTCCTGCTGTTTTTCTGGGATTGTTTGTATTCTCACCCTCTTGTCAAATGCTCTGTCTTCAAAATGAATTTAGTATATTATATGTATGGCTGGTTGGGAAACTTGTACACAAAAGATTGATGCTCACACATCAATGTATGAATACCCTGATTAGGTGGAAAGGAGTGTGAAGCTCAATGTTTTGATGTTAAGTTTGTCTTTTAAGCCAATGGTTAGAAGGTGCCACTTCTAGGTCCTACTTATTTCCTTTCCCTCTGTTGTCTCTGTCTGTCTATCTTTCTTTTTCCCCACACTTGTGGTCATGCGCTGCTTCTCTTTGCTGAACCTCAAAATATGTACCCTGCTTTTGTGGAAATTTGTGGCTCCAAATCGTGTTTCAGATTTCACTATAGGGTATAATTCTAGTGCATGTTTTAGTGTATGTAGTTGTTGGCATAATATGTGTGTATGTGTATGATGTGTTTCAATATGTTTCCCCTCTGCCCTCAGGGTTGGTGAAATTGACAGAAATGATGCCTTGGGATGTCTTAATCAATTTATTGCCAGTGAGTATTTGGGTGCCCAACTTTGAAATGGTCGTTTTTAGTATACAGTAGTCTCCGCCTAAACGCACGGTGCTCGGGAGGGCTCCTTAGCGTGTGTTTATACAGAGCGTGCGTTTACATGAACCTGTACAAAAGGAGGAAGGGACGCAGTAATCTCAATTCCTTATTACTGTAGTGACCTCCCTTGGAGGGAGGGGGTCATTTTGGTCAATAGTGTGACGACACGTGACTGTTTTGTGAAGGATTACCTGACTGGGTTTAAGAAAACAAAGGCGTTGTTTGGGGGGAAGAGGGGGGGGGGGGAGAAAGACAGATTCAATGTAATGAATGCACTATAAAACATAGGGAACAGATCGCCTAAGAGGAAACTGTTGGTGATAGTCATAGTCACAGAGACGACGGCCCAGCCATAATTCATGGACGACATCAGAATCATAGATCTCTACGTTCAGGAAAACATTTCTTTTGTCATTCGTTGAAAAAGTACGTCATACGTTCTTCAAACGCAGCTGATTAGGTTTACTTGGCTAATCTTTAATTATATAGAGGCCTGTAGACTTGTAGTGTTTTACGACATTCACATGAGTCGCGCATCAGGCCTAGATCTAGGTCTAAAGTCTAACTAAACATAAATACATGCAGTTACCCAAACACCAGTCAGAAACCTTCTCTTTAAGGATACATTTCCAATGACCTATCAAAAACCATCATTTGTCCCCCCAATCCCCCCCCCCTCCCTCAACTTTTCACAGACCAGTACTAGACCTATGTGTCTGTGGAAAGTTGAGGGTGAAAACGCTGTCCATCACTCTCTTTATCCGGCGTTAGGGGCACGCTCACCAGTATCCGGTTTTCTAGGCTTGTCTTATACAGGCTGTGCAGGTTGTAATGAAAATATCCCCTTGTCGAGCTTTACCTGTCGGCGTGTTTCACAGATTGGAGCGTGCGTTTAGAGGGAGTGACCATGCCTTTGTACGTCTAAATTATTAAGTAATAAACCCGTCAGATGACGAAAGTGTGCGTTTGAGCGGAGCGTGCTTTTGTATGGCGTGCATTTAGGCGGAGACTACTGTAGTAGGGCGTTAGACTCATTGAAGAAAAAAATAGGAACCCTCCAAATATAATTTTATTTTTCAAGCATCAAAGGAAAGCAGAAATAGCTTTTTGTCGCAATAACTGTATTGGCAGCAGGAACTATTTATACAATGTATTTTTACAAACATAAAGAGAGCAACAATTCTTTGATACAGCAACAGCGGCTACAGTTTTTATATACAATAAACAACAAATCCAATGGTTCTTAGATACAGCAGCTACAGGTCCATGGTAAGACGACAACAAATCTTTGATTTGATTGTTTAACCAACATAAAGAAATCTTTTATTTAACCTTATAAATAATCTATAACAACAAATCTTTTGTTTAACTGTTTAACCATCACCAACAAATCCTTGATTTGACAGTTTAACCAACAACAACTAATATTTGATTTACCGTTTAACTAACAACAACAAATCTATCTTTGATTGACTGTTGAACACTTTGCAGTCACACCGCTAGCTGTACAAAATACCCCATCTGATCACCCAGCCAGGAGAATGACCGCAATGGATTTCTGGGGCCTGGCGCGCATGGTGACCGAAACGTATAATTTTCACCGGCGAATTATTGCGCCAAGTGACTGCAAAGTGTTATCCTACATAAAGAAATTCAACCTTTTAACCAATAACAACAAATCTGTTATTTAACTGTATAACCAACACCAACATATCTTTGATAAACTGTACAACCAACAACAACAAATCTGTGGTGTACTACTTTTTGATCAACAACAACAAATTTTTGATTAACTGTTCGACCAGCAACACCAAATCTTTGATTTGACCATTTAACACCCACTCCCCCCCCCCCCCCCCCCCCCCTCGTTCCCTCCTCTCCCCACCAGGTGGCGGCCTGGGATGACAAAGTCCAGCACATGGAGGTGTACCGCGACACACGAGGCCAGCATAGCACTCTGGGCTACGTGCTCTACTCCCACGACATGTCCAAGGAGGTGGCGTGGAACCAGATGCCGGGCGTACAGCTCAGCGGCTTTGTCAAGGATCGACTTCTGGTACGGCTCATTGCAGTTTAGGTTCAGTAAGAGTTTTACAGCGTTTTGTAACACAGTAAGGTCATACATGCATGGGTCTCAATATTCCGCTATTGAGTGGAATGCCGCTACCGCCATTTCCTCTGCTAAACTCTGCTACCGCAGCAGCAGGCCAATCAGAAAGAGAGTTGCTGGGAGCAGGGTGATTGCCAGGCCCTGGGAATTGCCCTGGAATTTGAAAAAAATTGCTGAGACCCGCAAAAATTCACAAAAGATCTTGAATGTTTGAAAAACAAATCCTATAACGTCTTTAAGTTCATCCCGGTCTGAGAGTACGTTTCGCGTGAACAGGCGGCTATGATAATGCAACATTTGTAACATACCGGTTCTGCATTACAAACGTGGTGTCACCATGAAAATAAATCAATATTTGTCACTGTGCTGTCACTTGTGGGGGGAAAAAAAAAAAAGGGTTATACTAGCGTCTTGTCGGGCTCGTCATTGTGACCGGTCAGTGAACCTGCACGCGTTCTGAGCGCTGCGAAGTACAGGACTCTGGAATGGGGAAGATTATTTATTTTTTAAAAGATACACTCTGGGAGAGGGGAGGGCTGGAAGCAACACAAAGTAAAGTGCGCGTTGGTGCATACCTTGTGTAGAATCAGGATCCGTCACAACTTGTAAGCATGTTATTGAACTTAGGGGCCTAAGTGTTCTCATTTCATTGGATGGTGACAGTAAATTATATCTCTATATTTTAGCTTTCTGTTCAAGATTAGCAGATTTTCAGTGTCACTGCATCTTGCCCTCCCACTGTTCTTACACCCCTCACACTGAATAGGTCTACTTGAGCTATTCAAGTTATTACTCTACTCTGAGTTTGAGCAATAACCTTTGTCTTTCACCTTTATTATATATGATATAAATCTTGAAACCCAAACTGGTTCATGACAGTCGATATTCTGGTCTAGTCCTTTTCTCAGGCTCAAAACAAGATTCGTTTTTATATAGTTTATATATGCAGGCCAATATTATGAAGGGAAAATATAAATAAGTCGCACAAGACCCCAGTGCGCCACCACTTTCTGTATGTAATCAAGATTGTAAATAATTTGGTAAGTGACTCTTACTTGAAATTATCTTCCAAACCCTCAAATTGGTATGAAATAACCTTGCTTTGATAAATTGATGGTTTTTATTTCAGCATTTTAGGGTTCAAAAGTAAAAGGAAAGCACTAGTCCAGGTATCACTGGGAATAGGCCCAGAAATCACTGGCAACAGGGCCTAGGGCAGAATTGTTCCCAGTGTCACTGAGAATAGGCCCAGAAACTATTCCCAGTGACACTGAGAACAGACAGGCCCATTAGATATTGTGTTCCCACACTGAGCTACATCTAGATCTAGATTCTAGATCTAACTAAACTAAAGTAGCTTCTTGTGCGAGTGGAAGAATTTTTTTTTAAGAAAAAGGAATTATCATTCTATGCTTGCTTCTTATTCAGTCGTAATTTAAATGTACGTGTAGATCTAGATCTACATACGGATTTTGGAGACCACGGTACAGAACAGGTAGAAATCCTTCCCGATTCTTCTTTCTTCTAGATCTTGATCTAGTTCTAGATCTAGATCTATTCTGCGGTCAAGTCTAAGCCCTAAGTAAGAGAAGAGAACAAAAATGCTGAACTGAAGTGAGAAGAGAGTCTACAGTGCAAAGACTTCTGATTTTTTATGCAAAAGAGTTCCGTTGTCACTGGGAATAGTTTCTGTACCTATCCCCAGTGTCACTGGAAATAGTCACTTCGAAAGTAAAATAATAATGGGTGTCTTGCAAAAATGGGCTTCTGGCGCGATCACGTGGAAAGTTCCTCCTTTTTTTTAAATTCTGAGTTGAGACCCATGTACATGTGCCGAAGATTAGGAGTGTTATAAAAGAGTTTTAAAAATTTTTCTTAAAGGGGGAGAGATATGGGTGAGAACTACGGCTCATTGCAATTGTGTTTTTATTATTTTTGTTTTTTTTGTTTTGAGAAGGTGCTTTTCTTTCGTTTTCATATTTTAATCTTGTGCTCCTTTTTGTAAGATTTGTGCTTTTCTTCCTTCTTATTTATTTATTTTTCTTCCTTCTTCTTTTTTTTTTTCTTTCTTTTTAGGGGGGGTGTTAACGGAATATGTTGTGACTTTTTCTTCTCAGTCTTCTTTACTCTCTTTCTATTACTTCTGTCTATCAGTCATGCTTTTACTAAATTGGATAAGAGGTTCGTTTTGTACCAATGCCACCTATGCCTCTAAAATTCTTTTTTTCTTACTTATTGATGCTAGCAGTTTGATGAGACTTCATAGGGTGGTATCAACACAGCAACAATTAAAGAAATAATTATAATAATAATAATAATAATAATATAATTAATAATAATGATATAGTAATAATAATAATAATGATAATAATAATAATAATGATAATAATAATAATATAATTAATAATAATGATAATGATTTAATAATAATAATTATAATAATAATAATGATACTGAAAAAAATAAATATAATAGCATCATTTATTTAGCGCTTTGTTCCGTACAGGTACGAGCTCTTTGCTCTTTACATCGATCACATGATAATAAGAGTGTAAAACTTCATACACAGAAGGAAAAGCATTTCATATAAGCAAGAAAACCACTTCACTGCATAACAAAGAACTTTCTCACCATGCGTTAATCTCATACACGTAAAGACAGCTGTAAAAACAAGACAAATGAGCACCCACTAACACACTCCAACTCCAAGAATTAATTTTTTTCGTTTCCTTTCGATCAGGCCATTCTGAACAGTGAGCTTATTTACACACTACACGGGTCCAACTCGGACAATGAGCCACTCCTGGACTACGACTGGGACCAGGTCTGGCAGGTAGGAAAGAGAGAAAGAACGAAAGAAAACAATTCTTTATACGTCCTTTCTTAGCCCTCCCAAGTGTCGGTAAAAAAATAGCTTGTGATGTTGGAGGGGGGGGGGGGGGGAGGGAGGGGAGGAGAATTAATGTTACGTTGGAAAAAGATTGAGAACAGGCCATAAACCTATTCCTTTTCAAAAAGTAGGATGAAAATGTGAAAAATAGCTCATTTGTGAAGGAGTTGAAATGTTTTGCAATATATAGCATTGGATGAACGAACAGAAAAAATGATTCAAATTTCTGCCCATTAAATCTGCTGCAATGCCACAGAATGAAACCTTCAGCTGATTTAATCAGCCGTTGACACTTGAGGAAATAACTGTTTCCCATTTTTTTATTTCAGTTGAAACTGTTTAAACAACCCCCCCCCCCCCCCCCCCCTTAAACAGGATTTCCTCTATGGAAGTCACCAAATTTTCTCACTAATTTTACTTTTGAAACCACGCGACCACACCTCCTTCAATTGCAAATATCTCGACTTCTATCCAAGATAAATGGATATTTTTTTCATCGAAAGCAAGGCAAATGAATAACCTTTAAGATGATACCAATAACTCCCTATCCCCCAAAAATGACGAGCGCCTGATTCTACCTTGTCGCCTCACAACTGGATCAATGAGGTTTTGCTTTGTATCCTGATTTTCGTTTTGACTGCTTTGTGTAAGATTCTGCCATATTGTCTCATCAGAACTATTTTGTCCAAAATGTACTTAACACTTTACTATCACAAGCATTTTGGGGGAAATCCAAAGAAACTGGGTCGTGAACATTGCAGATTGGCGTTTTGTGACGGGAGCGGAAGTTCGGCGTTCTTGCCAATCGGCGAGATGTGACGGCAAAGTGTTTTAAAGTACTTTGAGCAAAATAGATGTGATGTGGCGATACGCCACTTTGAAAAGTGAAGTATGACGGAGTCTTACTTTAAGCAGTCTATTTCCAGTGTCGGCTCATGGCTGTATGTCAGGCAAGGGATGATTCAACGTTTCATGTAGATAAAATGGCCATGAACGTAAAAATCAATTGCCCTACGACTAAGAGATCTTACAGTCATTTTCTCCATGACTCCCGCAGGGCTATGAGAAAAAAAGATTTCCAGGCTAAAGGGCTAGAATTCAGATGGCCACTAGATCAGAAAAGTAAAGTTCGAGGGAAATATAAAAAGATATCTCCAGCAAGAAAAATGTGACGTGTTTATATTATCTCTGTCATAGTGTTGTGCAGTATGGGCTGTTGATGTAACCTCTAAATTATGCATTAACATTTATGCTTTGTACTTTGTCATTGTATCCAAATTTACCCACAAAGATCAGTAGGAATGGTATTCTTCTTTCTTCGTCTTCTTCTTCTTCTTCTCTTTCTTCTTCTTCTTCTTCTTCTTCTTCTTCTTCTTCTTCTTCTTCTTCTTCTTTTTCTTGTTCTTCTTCTTCTTCTACTTCTTCTTCTTTATTTTTTTTCTTTGCTTTTTTTTTTCTACTAAAAAAGCGAAAGACAGCTTTTAAATATTCAAACCCTGGACCTTCTCCCTTTATAAATGTCCCCCCGTGTACAGTCAGATCTGTACGCCTACAAGACAGACTACCAGCGGGCCTACGATGACGTGCTTGAGAGGCCAAACTGGCAGGGTTTATTCATTCAGAGAATGCAGGTCTTATAAGAAACTCTAGCAGCTGCTGTTGCAGGCTTGTTAACTGTCACAAATTTCCTGAGACTGTTCTGCCTTCAGCTGTCAAAACGGCTTTTTATTCAGTTTTGATTCCAATTTTTGTTATTTGCTAAATCGATAAGCCTGATCCTTCATCTTGCTTATGTGAAAAATAATAAAAGTGAAACTGTGACTAGTTTTTGAATAGGTAAGAATTCAAATTTCGGAAGAATGACTTTTCTTTAATGGTTACACGGATAAAATGTTTTTTCTCAAAACTACTGTGAATTTTTTAAAAGAGTGTTTTGTCAGCTTATGACTGTGTTGTGGAGTCGGCTATACAGGATTTGAGAGGACATTTTTCACCGATACTGTAAACTTATCCTATGCACTACACCAAAACCAGTCCCACTTGATGTCATTTTTGCCGTTGCTATGTAATCTGATACAATAACTTTGGGTGTCCCTGGTTGGGTTTATAATGTTGTTGTTATCGATCCAGCAACAGCTGGGCTCTCGCCCTTCTGTCCTATGCCATGTAGTGATAAGTGCAGGTTTTCTGCAGTTGCTGTAATGTTCCATAGAGTGTGTTGTCAATGTTAGGTCTGGGAGGGAGAAGGGTAGCTCTGATGTCATTTAGGGCTGTGCAGTGGAACAGGTGATGATCCACAGTCTCATATGCATAGTCATACAATGGACACATTGGGGGAAGTTCCGGGTTTATTCTGTTCAGGTGGAAGTTGTGCTGTATATGTTATGTTCGTAGGCGGAAGATCGTGGTCTGTTTCTTTGTCTGTGTGTGGTTGATATTGTAATTCCTTTTTGTTGTGGTTATATGTTTGAAAACTGCTCTGCCTGTCTGTCCCAGGGCCCATCTATTCATCCAATCTTGTTTGTTGCTGCTTTTGATGATTTGGTTTTCAGTGTTGTACGAAGTTGGAATGTTGGGTTGTTCCTGTCTAGATCCCCATTTGGCAAGTGTGTCTGCTCTGGTTGGGTTTATAAAAAGCAGACCAGCCTGCAATTTGATGGTATTCAATGGAAAGTGAGGAAATCTGGGATTCTTAAATCACTGAGGATGTTCATTTTGCTCATTTAAAGCAACATTGTTTTGAGAGGCATGATTTCTTTCTTAATATTGATATTTTGTTTTCTTTATCTGAAACTTAAATGAAACTTAAAAGGGCAGACAACTATATGCATGTTATGGAATATGCAAATTTGTCTTTCTGATTTGTGTATATTGTTTCAAAATGTGCTATATTATTGGCTTTAGTCTGCTGCTGATGGGACGTGTGAAGAATTAATAAACTATAAAAACTTTGTAGATATTTTTGAGATATGAGTAGACATTGTATTTTATTGAGCCTCCTATGAAAACAACTTCCATCCCTTGCCACTGACACCATCGAAACAGTTGTTGAAGTTTTCCAAGTTTTCTTTTTCTTTTTTGTTATATTTTTGGGGTGGAGGGTTTTGTATTCCATTTTGCTTTGTGCAAGTTAGACACTCGTCAAAATACTTATGAACAGTTTCACCATAAAATGCAACATATCCGTGTTTTTGGTTTTGAGAAAAATTGTGATTTCTGTTCTTCACCTATTTACTGAATAATCTTGTGCAGCTTTGTTTTTAGAGTAAACATAATGTAAGGCATAGTTGATATGTGTTGTATGATGAAATCTAAGTTGGATTTTTATCCTGTACTTTGATAAGATCTCCACCCATATTTGACAAAGCGCAACATATCCACAATTAAGGTAATAAGGAAAGGAGGGAGAAACTGCACACCACCAAGAAGATTAAAATGTTTTTTTGGTGGTTTTTCTTTTTTTTTTCTTTAGGGGGGGTTGTATTTTTTAAATTGAGTGTACTGATTTGAAAACTGCAGTGTCAACTGTTTCCTTATGTAACTTTGACAATGCCTAGTGCATGTTTGCCTGTGTGTACTCCAGTCTGTGGTGGAGAAGCTGCGCAGCACCAAGAAGATCAAAGGCTCGCAGAGACTGGACCTGGTGGTGGAGAACCAGGGCCGGGTCAGCTACTCCCCACAGCGGCTTGACCTGCTCAACCAGCAACGGAAAGGTCTGTAGTACTAGTGCGTAGTCAACCAGGAGGGGTTTTGATGGTGGTATGCAGTCAACCTGGGGACTGGGTTTGGTGGTCGATGTAAACAGTGCTTGAATCTTGAACACCGTAGGTGTTGTCCGTCCACTATGGGTTGTAGAAGTTCTACTTCTGTTTGTTATTTTGTTATGTGGCATCATGGTGAAATCAAGCGCGCGTCAAAATAATGAAATTGAAGAGACCATCATTCTTCTCCCCTTCGGGCAATTTTTTTTTTTTTTTTTTTTTTTCAAGTTTTGGTTCAACACCTTTTCTCCTAATTTGAAAGCTCATTTCAGTGTGGATTTTTATAGAAAAACGTTGATCAAATGTGCAAAAAATGTTACTTTGCAGTTTCCAAGGACTTTCAAGCTTTGAAAGTTACCAATTTTTGTCATGAAAATTTTATATAGCTGAATTTTCACATTTTTCTGAAGGTGCTTTAAGATCAATCTCTCTTTGTTCCTGTTACCCCCAGGCCTGTCAGGGCCGGTTTACCGCTACATTTTTGGCCTGTTAGAAGAGTGGCAGATTCGCTTCATGAACTTTGAGGAAGAACAGTATGAAATGTGAGTACAATGACAAGTTGATGTCTTTCATCAAAAGTACTAGCTGGGTCCCCTATCGATGAAAGGAATGATCAGTGCATTAACATCAACTGAAAGTTAATGGCCTACTATATTTACACTCTACTGGAATGGAGCAATAAATCTTGAGAGAAAAGTGACACACGACATGTTTCCAAGTTACCATATAACTTATATAATAGACGTAGAGATAGATAATAAGATTATTATTATCCGCACTTCTGTTCTTGCGAACTACTCACCCGCACGAAGACAGCAATATGAAACGGAAGTAGTCCCCAGTAAAATAGGAAATGGCTACGGGCAGAGTGAAAACATCTGAGAGTTTCGATTTACTCGAAAAAACATCAAACCTGAAAAATCAAAAGGTTGTTTCCCAACTTTGAAAATCTGCCCACGTAACCCTTTGGGGCAATTCTTGTCTGAATCATATTTTTTGTAGATTTTATGGGCACCTGTGTAAAACGTTTTTACTGACCCCACAAACGGGCTTAGCTCCATTATAATAAGATGAATGTAAGTACTATAACTGTACTCGTATAATCTTTTGATTTTTCTAATACAAAATGCTCTCAAACTCCTGCCTGTGTTTTGTACTAGCATGACATCATTGCTTTTCTCCTCCTCTTCCACCACTTTGCATTCCTTTGTTAGGAGTAGATGGTTGTCAATTATTATTGTCAGTATTGTTGTTGTTACCATTATCATCGCCCTTATCGTCTTTCTGGTTATTAGTATTATTATCATTATCATTAATATTATTTTTATATTATTATTTCTATTATCATTAATGCTGTTGTTGTTGTTGTTGTTGTCCTTGTTGTTGTTGTTGTTCTTCTTCTTCTTCTTCTTCTTCTTCTTCTTCTTCTTCTTCTTCTTCTTCTTCTACTCCTCTTCCTCCTCCTCCTCCTCCTCCTCCTTCTTTGCAAGAACACAGTTAGACAGACATGAGCCACAGAGGGAGAGAAAAGAAGAAAGACTAATCAACTCTTTTGTCTTACTGGTCTGCCCTATCTTCTGTTCTTCCTTTTCTCGGCATGTTTTCTCACCTGTGTGGGTGGTTGGCGGTTGCTCTGGTGTGGTTTGCCCCTTTGTTATACGATTAAGTAGCAACAATCCTTATCTTTTTTTTGTTTTTTAGTTGTTTTTTTGTATGTTATTCTCGAGTAACACCTCTAATCTTCAGCCCTTGTATGACCTCACTGTGTTGCAAGTGCTGTAAAACTCTTACTAAAAACTAAAACTCTCACCTGTATTTCCTCTCTAGTTTATTTTCTGTCACCTCTCATTACTCATATTAAAGTGGGTGGTTGGTGGATGCTCTGGTGTGGTTCGCTCCTTTTTCCTGACAAACATCTGTTGTCATTATTTCCCCTGTTTTGATGTTTTGCTACTCTCTCTTTGAACAATTATAATCTTCTTCAGCGTTTAAATGACCAAATTATGTTGCAAGTACCCTAAAATTCATATTAAAACTAAAACTCTGAACCTCTTACCAAAGTAAAACTCTCACCTGTATCTCCTGTCTACTTTATATCCTGTCACTTGTCGTTCCCCACACAGGATCACCATGTCGTCGGCCTGGATGAATGCTGAGGAGGTGCGTAACCACCCAGAGACCAGACAAGCCCCAGCACTGTTCAGGGGTCACCTAGAGGTCAAGGACACTCCAGTTGATACTTTCATCTCACTAGAGGTAAAAAGGAGATTGATTGGGAAATGTACATGTGTGTGTGGGGGGAGGTGTGACTTTATTTGTGTGTGTGGTAGAGACATGTTGCTGTTATGAATCTTGCAGCTGCTTCTTAGGTGTGTTCAGTATTCAGGGTGGGTGATTGTGAGTGAATGAGTTAGTATACCTTGATCAAGAATAGTACCATATTCCTGAAATATTAATTTTCCTTTTTGCCAATAAGATATATAACTTTTTTTTGCCTCACTGTGGCTACAAATTTGAAATTTGCTTATCGAATTACTGTCCAGTCTTTTAAGGGGATATGTGGGTGGGAAATCGGGTCAAAAATTGAATTTTCATTGAATATTAAATTTTGAATGAATTTCGATTGTTCAACCATTTCTACATGTCGTCATGTGATCAGTTGTACTAAAGAAAGTTCTCTTCCTGACATAAATTGTCCTTGAAATATGTATGTATAGGTCTCTCCTCTTGTGTTTTTTTGAAAAACAACTCATAAACTGAACCAAGTAACGTCATAATTTAAACAACACATTGCATCCTTTCCCATGGTGTTTGTACGTCTGTCCTTTTTTTCTCCCACCTCTAAATCAACTAACACCCCCCGGGGCAGTGCTACTGACTGAAGTGTCTTTAGGTTATTCCCGAAGGGAGGACATTAACATGTTCTTATCCATATTTGCAGTTTCCAAACTCACTGAAGCTGTGTAAGTCACCAAACTTTGGGGGCCATTTGCTCGCTAATTTTACCTCTGAAACCAGGCGACTTCCACCACTTTCAATCGCGAAAATCTCACCTTTTATTCTAGGTAGATGGGTATTTTTTTCATGACAAATGAACAAGCTTTAGGATGATGCCAATAACTCTACATGCTGTAAAATTGACGAGAGCCTGATTCCGCCACGTCGCGATGCATATTTCACCTTTTTACTCATTTTTTCATCTCCCTGCCCCTATCCTCCCCCTAGGGCTGGAAGAAAGGTGTGGTCCTTGTCAATGGGTTTAACCTGGGCCGCTACTGGCATGTGGGTCCTCAGAAGACGCTGTATCTGCCGGGACCTCTGCTCAAGACAGGCTCCAATGAGGTCAGCTGTTTTCTTTTTCATAAATTCTTTTTTATTTTCAATTTTTTTTGTTGGTAAATTCTTTTTTTGATTCAGATGTTTTCTTTTTTCAATCTTATATCTGTAGATTCCTTTTTCTGTCAGATATTTTCTTGCGTGCAAATTCTTTCTTTAATCATTTGTTTTTTATTGGTAAATTCCTGTTTTCTTATCTGTGAATTCCTTTTTCCGTCCGTCAGATTTTTTAGTTTTAGTAGGAGTTTTACTGCGCTCACAACTGCATGTCAGATTTTTTTCAGATCTATAAATTACTTTTTCTGTTAGATGTTCTCCTATCTGTAAATTCCTCTTTCTGTTACATGTTTTTATCTGTAAATTCCTTTTTCTTTGGCCAGATCATCTTGTTTGAGGAGGAACAATGGGGCAGCCATGTGTCACTTGTGGACTCTCCAGACCTTGGGCCGGCCAGAACGTGATAACTACTAACTACCGTTTGTTGGTTTTTTCCTCTCCGCCTCATACAGCCGAGGGCTGGGGCCAGGACATTTCTCCATATCTCATCAGCAAAACCAACAATAATTTATTCAAGATGCTCCAGTATTTTATGTCTATATCAGCAAAACAGTTCATAATTTATTCAAAGAAGCTCATGTCTTTCTGTATCAGCAAAACCATCAGTGATTTATTGAAAGAAGCTCCAGTTTTTTTTGTAGCAGTAAAGCAGCCATTGAGTTATTCAAAGAAGTTCCAGTCTTTTATTACAGTAAAGCCATCAATAATTTATTCAAGGAAACACAATCAATCTACAATATGAAGGCTCTGCTTCTGCAGTGATGTGGTCGTTACGTATTTACACCGTTCCGATAACCTTCCCCCCCTCACCCTTCCCTACACTACCCTTCCAAACCACAGCATACAAAACCATCTTTCTTAAAAATACCATTGTCAAAAAAACTGTTGACGTCTCCAGCTCTTTTTGACTGACGCCATTCATGCCATATGATCTCTATAGTTTTTATTTTGCCATAGAAATCAGAATTTTTAAAGTTTTTGGGATTTAACATGGTAATGTATGATTTTTTTTTTTTTTCATTTTAGTTGGGATTTTTTGTTTTGTACACCACAATTTTTCCTGGGTTTTATTACCACATTCTTTGTCAAAGACGTTTTATTGTTACTGAGATTTGCATAATGCATGTGTGTGTGTGTGTGTGTGTGTTTGTATTCTTTTGAATACTCATATGTTGTATAGCAGTCAACCTCTCAACATTAAAGATTAAATCTTTAGGTAATGTTTGCCTGTATGCAGATGTTAGATGCCTGGCAATTCTGAGGTCAAGTGATAAAATGAGGTACAATAAGAGTTAATAATGTTGTTCCTATTTTGTTGTTTTCCAACATTTTGTACATAATACCCTACAGTCTTACCTTATAGAAAAACATTGTTGACTTGTAGGTGCTAATTTTCTTGTTGAATTTTACTTTTTGAAATATTTTTTCCACCAATGAACAATATGTGTTCTGTGAAATGTGAAGTATTTGCTTTTTGCATTGTGTAATAATTTGTATATGTCATGTTGTAGAAGATGTGTTCTTTTTTCCTGATTCTAGGTTGTGACAACATAGTATGTATGTGTCATTGTGTGCCTGTCTGTCTGTGTGTGTGTGTGTGTGTTTATGTGTGTGTATCTGTGTGTGTGTATGCGTGTGTTTGTGTGTGTGTGTTTATGTGTGTGTATCTGTGTGTGTGTATGCGTGTCTTTTTACAAGTTGCTGGATGTGCTTAGGAGTTTGTGCATACGTGCAATTGTAATACTTGTACCTGTATGATTTGAAAAATGAGGCAATGAAGAGAAATGGAAAAAAAAGGATGAGGAGAAAGCGATGAAGAGACTGGGAGTAAAGAGGAGAAGCAGATGGAGAGAAATGAAAGTTGCTGTGTTGATAGTGGTGAAAGCAGGAAACAATCTGTTTTAACCTACTTGTCGACTGCTTTGTGTCAAACTCCACCATTTGCTAGGGCTGGATCCTGCTCGCCAAATTTGAGAGTGGCCATTCGCGATTCAGTCGCCTTCAAAGAATCGCGAGAACGCGAGCGCTCGTGGAACTGTGGCGGAACACTGATTGAAACGGAACAGTGTCATATCAACGAAACAGTGGCATATCAACGAAACAGTGTCATATCAACGCCTCTTGGCGAGCGCGAGTCCCATTATTGTTGTTCCGCCATCCTCTCCGCCCCCCACCCTCCGTTGCGCTGCTCTATCTACTGACCTCAATTAGTGGCCCCCATAAATTCACACCCCCCCCCCCCTCCCCACCCCATGATTCGCTAAAACAATGGCTCCACAAAATTCCTTCTGTCTATTGGTTGAACCCCGTTCATTTTGTTTTAATAGTGGGGTTGGACTATACCATCTTTTGTAAAATAAGGGGAGCCATACTAAGTGTTCCGTTCTGTTCATGCGCTCGGGACTCGACTCAGCAGTAGGTTAAACAAGCCACAAGGTGGTGACAGCGACAGGGGAGTGAATCGGGAATCGTTTGGCGATACTGTTCTGCGTTCCATTGAAGTGAATCGTGTTCCGCAGGCAAGAGTGGCGATTCAGTTCCGTTCTTGCACTCGCGACCTAGCAGTACCATATTGTAAAGTGATATAAATTACCACACTCGTAAGATAAATGCCTAGGATTTTTTTAGCCATATTGAGAAAATGAGAGAAAAAAATTGTTTCTTCTGAGCAATTGACTTCATGAAATGTTTTGATTTTGGTACATTCAATTGATTTTTTTGGGGGATTTTTCTTTTGTTCAGATGAACTATTTTAACTAGCTGGCTCTGCTATTTATTTCAGAACCAAAAACTCCAAACCCGACAAAAATGACTAAGGCAATTATCTTAGGAGCATGACGAAATGATGGAGTTTTACTCTGAGCAGTCGATATACTTCATAAATTATTATGTGCTTTAACTTTTATTTCTTTGGTGCCATAGGTACCAAGGTCAGAAGTGGCTGCTGGAAGTTGTTATTGATATGCATGCGTTAGTCCTTTTGAGTAATTTTTTTAAAAGGAGGGGGGGGGGGAATATACAACATTAGCATTCCTGTTGCTGCAAGAACATTTTGACTGATATATTAACAGACTAATGTCTGAAATTGGCCTAATCATCTTAAGAGGAGAATATTTCTTAGGTGAAATAGAAGTGGAAATGACTTGTGGATTGTGCTATTGCCAGTGAGGCCAATTCTGACAGAGAAGTGTTTGCCATATTTTGAGAATTTAAAAGTTTCATTTTCACGTGGGCAACTCGAGGGGGGGGAGGCATCAGCATTTCTAATTCGTGAAGTCTCGTGTGATCAGTTGCTCTCTCTGATTGCTGCTCTTCACAGGGTCTGCCAGAAGCTAGGCTATCCCATGTCAAGGGGCTAATGTTGAAGTCCTTCAGAGACATTTTCAGGGTGTCTTTATACATGTAGCACTTTTTAGGTGCACACACTTTACGTTATCTTTGGGAGAGCTCAGAGTGGTATACCCACAAAATGAATAAAAAGAGGGATGAGATATCATAGAGCCTTTCTGCTCTGGGGTGTGTTGTGTAATGATGTGGCTGTTCATCTTTCCTTGCATAATGCATAAGTTTGATTCCCACATTATTTTGTCTGTGGGTGGTTGACAGGTGCTCTGGTGTGGTTTGCTCCTTCTTTCTTATCAAACGACTGTCGTCTTTATCTCTCCTCCTCCTCCTTTTTTGTGTTTTATCTCTTGTGTAACACCTCTAATCTTCGGCACTTCTTTCCCCTAATTGCATTGCAAGTGCCATTAAAAAAAACTCTTACAAAAACTACTAACTTCCATTCACTGTGCCAAGGACTCTGCTTTCCATGCGATCTTCTAGGTCCATGAATGTACGCAGAAATGAAAGAACAAATACCTTTTTGTGCCTTATTTTTTTAGATTATTATGAGACCAAGTTATTGTTTTTGGGAGTGTTTTCGGGTGGTTGTTAAGTTTGGATTTTTTTTTTGGGGGGGGGGGT